AGCTCATCATCCGTTCTCTCTTGCCTGTGGCCCGGGGGGGGGGGGCACTAGGGTATTTTTTGGGTGGGTATGTGCCGCCCGGGACTCCAAATTGGCACCCCGTTCTAAAAGAAATTTCCCCTAAGATTGATACCCCGTTCTAGAAATGGGTCTAGAATTTGCCCTAAAACTGATACCCCGTTTTAGAAATGGGCCAATTTTTTATACTCCGCTATTGAAAGTTTGTAAATTGAAATAGCCCTGTTTTTTTTAAAAAGATATTTCTTTATTTGCTCGACTTATAGAAAACGCCTCTGAAATGGATACCGAGTTCTAAATCAGGAGCTTCAAAATCACGACCCCGTTGGGCGGCACATACCCGTATAGGTAGTGTATGGGAGTACCCCCCCCCCCTCCCCCGGGCCTGTCGCCCACAAATTCTTTGTCGTTGGGGCATGAGGTCTGGACTTTCTAGGGAACATGTGCGTTGTCGCACGTGATAGTTGCCCGAATAGACAGAGTGCAGTAATTAGCCGAGAGATGAAGTGATCAGGGGGGCGTTTACCATCGACTGCTGCGACAGCAGTGAAAACGACCCTTTTAAAATGAATTTGCTTCTTTTTAAACTTCTTGGCGTATATTGCAACTCATCGAAAATGCCAAATGTAGTTGAATTTCAATTTCCGTGGAGTTGAATTCTATTGGACAGCACCGAAGTGCAGAGGAAGAAAGTTCCTGTCGTCGTGTGTTCATATCGAGTTTATACGTCCTCCATCAGACGTCGCATGAAGGACTTTCACGCTGTAGTCGTACAGGAACCGACAAAGAATCGTACCAAACAGTGTGCTGCACAGGCACAATCGTTGTTTTGCTTTTTTTTTTAACCTCTAGCTTTTTTGACGTTCTCTGTGCCACCGTCGTCGTCTTTGGTAACTTAAAGCTCCCTGTTAAAAGCGTACTACCTCCTTGGTTGGGTCCGAATCAGACACATTTTCCCTTCGTTTGACAAAAACGGTAAGTTAGCTGGATATCCCGGGCTAGATATATACATGGAAGAAACATTATCTGCAATTTGAATTATGGACCTCGACATCTCCAACCGTAGTGATGACATGTGATGAGTCTCAACGGAGATAAGCTTGTGTGTTGGGGGTCATCCACACCCTTAGAAGGGGGGGGGTCGGTCTCCCAAAAAAATGTTTTCGGCCCTTCGAGCCTCAGTTTGGTCTAAAAAGAAGGGGGGCGGCCCCCCGGGCCCCTCTCCTGGATCCACCATTGCTCGAAACAATGACAAAAGACTAGATAAAATGTCGACAAATTACGTAAAGATGGGTTAAATACCGACAGAGACATGGCCCACTCCTTAAAACGCGAAACACGGCGTGCTTGAAATTCCGAATAGGAACAGACGAACCACCTCTACCAAGGACCTCATTGACGCGTGTTTCTTTCTGTCTTGGATTACTGAACTTTTGCCATCTGGTCTGCGATTTGAACCAGGGTATCTGCTCTCAGTTTCACGACCCAGCCTCCCTCCCGCTAGTCTCCTTCGCAGCCGTTATTAGGGTGGTCACTCGTCACGCAACGCGGAGACTACCCTCCCGCTAGAATGAAATATGTTATTCATCGTGGTTTGTGTATAATAGGCGGGCTCGTTCATCGTTTGTCCCAAGATAGTGTTTAAGTTTAGAATGGTTATAGAACTAACTTCCTACTAAAAGTCGCGCACAACAATCAAAGTCCTCGCTGGTCGAGACACCGTCCCTGTGATGGCCGAAACGGAGAGGCTCCGCCCGAAAGTGGTACATTTTTAGGCTTCAGGAAAATGAAAGAGTAGGGATTTCACTAGTCGAAGTAGACTGCAAAACAGTCCGTATTTTTGCGTATTCAAGTACGCGCGAGCAGTCAAACAAAAGGTCTGGAACAAGGCTGAAAACAGAGAGCGAGACTGGGGAGAGATTTCTCTCGCCTCATACGTCCTACGGGCGTGTGAGGCTCGCGCGCTTCGCGCGCGTAAGACTCATACGCCACGCTTTACCGATTTCTTTAGTGATTTTGAGAAAAAAACCGACTGTTTTGCAGTCTATAGTCGAAGTGATATGAACGGACAGGGAAAGCTGTGGTTGTGGTCTGTGAAAGGACCTAAAAGGGTCAACGAGGGCATTTTATGGCAAGAAAACTTTCTGGTTTGCTGATTTTTTCATCTTTAAAAGATGGCGCATTTACAGCAGTTAAAAGGGATGTAGCGTTCTGAAGCCAGTATGTGAAAGGGGTACCATTTGTCAATAAAACTGAAGGCATACGAAAGGGGTACCCCCTGGGCGCCATCTCCTTCAGTCTTTTAGTTCTTTGCCCGTGTTAGAGGCTCGACTAAGGCCACAGATAAAAGGTATTTTTCACCATCTGCGATGCAGCCTGATTTATGGCCACCAAGTGAGTAAAGAGTGAATATAAAGCAGTAATTTAAGCAGTAGAAAAGTTGTGGTACACAAACAAAGAGACTATAAAGACAAACAATGAACGAGACCTAACATACTAACTTGCCTACTGGCTAGGAAATAAAACGCGCACATTATAAGTTCAGTCCTTTTATTCCAAAATTATTACTTTTTTCCCCATTAACTAGGTACCTCTTTACTTCGATTACCCGTTCTCTTTTTTTAAAAATTTAACAGCAGTTATTATTAGCAATACTTTCAATTTAAATTATTTAACCTATGTTTACTACAAGTATCTTTTCCCCAGGGCTTTAACTGCGCAAAGTAACAAAGCGGAAGGTTGGAAACTTCCACGCTCCAGACCAACAGCGCTAGGATAACGAGCGACGGCAGGGGACGAGTCAGACTTACAATCTACCCAAAAATGGTCGGCCCCTAAGTGAAGAGCGTAAAATCGCACAGAAAGTTAAGTTCGCTCGTATTGCTCATGATTGACAGTTAAACATGAAAGTCTCCGGATCTTTAGACCCAAACCGTTATCAGCACTATCAAGAAATAAACTATATTAATTCTATAATCAATAAAATAAACAAGAAAACGTGTTAAGATAAATGTCGATTCAGCACCGGATGAGAATCTACGAAAATTAGTTAAGCAGCATTTTAAGGTTTTGGTGGCATGAGCAGTTGAGAATGTTGCTATTGCGACGCTCCGCCATAGCATTGCAGTCCAACTTAACCCTTAACCATGTTGAGCCCCAATATCTACATAGAATTTCTCCAGACTGATTTCATTCGTCTCTTAAAGAATTAGTTGAGAGAATTTGGTAAAAGATCGAGGCATTTTCCTTAGGCTATGATATTTTATTAATTATCATAACCTTTACTCTAATCCTTATATTGATACTATCAGGAAAAAATTGATGTTACTCACTTATGGGGCAGCGACTTAAAGGGACTTTAAAGGGACGCGATAACGGTTATGCGCATGCGCGCCGTTTGTCTCTTCAGAATAAATTCGTTGGGTCAACACTAAATTCGAAATCGCCATTACCTGTACAATAATCGAAAATCCTTCGTTTTATTCCGACATCCGTCGCTTTGGCTGGCCTAGTTATACTTCGTTAGTGGTGATTAACGTGTTTCCATGTGATCGCTACGATCGTTACGATGGCTATAGCCTGAGTATCAGGCGTTTCTGGGGAAAAGGGGAAAGATGGAAGCGAAAAAGGGAGAGAACTGAAGGAGAGAAACGCCTTCCTTTCTCTTCTCTCCCTCCCCCCTCTCCCATCTAAAATCCCTTCTCCCCTAGCCCCTTAGGAAGGCCTGATACTCAGGCTACGATCGCTACAGCGATTGATGGCTTCCATATAATGATCGCTGCGATCGCCGAGAAAGTGAACAAAGATCAATGGGACCCGTGTCTAACAACATCGTTTACTCCAGTTCAGTTCAAAGTCACGGTGACACCAGCTCTCCCGGAACCATCGATTTCTTTCTCTTCAAAAATCTCCTCATGACTTCAGTCAAATTTCTTTCCATTTACTTTCGAGCAGTTGTTTTTCTGCTTTCGTCTTAATATTCCTTGAAAATTTGTTTTAAAGATTAAGACAGTCACCTCTTTGCGCATCTCCCACAAAAGGACCAAATTGCACGCTTTCACAGCGTTAATCTTGAAGTGAGTTCACTCATTTCAAACGTACGCAGTGCTTTCTGGTATTTTGCTGTCGCTTCAATCGCTACGATCACTACGATCAGTGTATGGCGGGTGGTTTCCATATAATCGCTACAATCGCTACCATCACTGAGATAGAACTCAGCGATCATTGTCGCTGCGATCGCTGCAGAGTGGTTTCCATATGATCGCTACGATCGTTGAACCTCTTTTTCCAGCGATCGCAGCGATCACAGCGATCGTAGAGATCATATAGAAACCAGGCTTTAAAAGATTAAGTTGATTATATGTTACTTCTCTCAGTCTAGAAATCTTCATAACCAGCTGGCGTTGGCCTTAATGGGAAGAAGTTTGCGGATATCTTCAAAAACGACGTCAGTTCATCGGATAATAGACCTTGTCACGGTTTTCGACACCACCTTGACGAGTAGGCAAACGCGTGAGAAATTACAGTGTTTGTATGAGAATCTAATATCGAATAATTGCTTAAAAAGGCTGTTTTGAAAAAATATGAATTGTAAACTAAAGCTTCACTTCTAAAGATTCTACTGAAAAATATTGAGGGCGTTCCATGCGCTAGAAGACCAAAACCACGTTTTTAAATTTTCTATACATTTCTCTGTAACAAAGTCCCGGGAAAAATTACAGACAAATACATGGAAAATCTAAAAGCAAGCGTCTGAAGAAACTTAAGCACAGGTACGCCCCCGAAATTTTTTAGTACAATCCTTTGCTTTGCAGCTTTAGTTTACAATTGATATTTTTTTCAGAACAGCCCTTTTACGGAAATTATGCGACATAAGATTCTCATATAAACCCTGTAATTTCTCACACGTTTGCCTACTCGTCAAGATGGCGTCGAAAACCGCGACAAGGTCTATTGACCGAAAACATTAGAAGGCGCGGTGGCTCAGCTGTTTTGTTGCTAATTATTTTTGTCATTGCAGTCACTAACCATTACCCTTATTATTACTTTTTTACAAAAGAACTGAAACAGAGAAGAAGTCTTTAACCCTTTAAGCCCCAATATCCACATACAAGTTCTCCAAACTGATCTCCATACATTTCCTTACAGAATTAGTTGAAACAATTTGTTCAAAGATCAAAGACATTTTCCCTGAAGTGATCACTTTATTTATTCTCCTAACCTTTTCTCTTGATTATGTATTGATAGTGTGAGGAGCAAATTGATATTGGTCACTCTTGGGGCTTAAGGTGGATCCCTAGAGTAAATTGGCCGTGCGCAACCTGAGCACTAGTATGGCGCGAGCTTTAAAATCCGCGCGACGTCCACGCAAAGACAAAGTAACTAGATTTCGTTCTGTAACGTATGCTTGATAGCCAGGGTTATTAGTAAATACTCTAGGGAGCCACCTTAAAGGGTTAACAGAAAGCGTTATTCAACACAAGAAAAACTATGTGATTTGTGCTTTTTCATGCACAACTTTGCAGCTTATAAAGATGAATTAATTTCAAAACGTTTTCTCGTTTAAAATGATAGCTAATCATAATCTATTGGAAAGAGCGATACTGTCCTATGAACTTAATAAGGGTATCTATTGGTAATAACGAGCACTTGATGCATTTCTTGGTACGTACTAACTAAATTGTTATGTCGGTGACACTCGGAGTCTCTCGATCTCGCTCACCTTGAATGGCACGCTCGGCACTGAAGCTTATGGTCAGATTTCCATTCTTAGGATCCTTTGTGTAACCTTTCATGTATTCAATGAACGCCGTTTCCCACGCCATAGCCTTCTTGAGTTTGGTTGTATCCTTATGGTTATTTACAACAAAAGTGATAATCAAGGTTGTGGCATTCTGGTACGCTTTACCGTCAAAGCCATCTAGCACCATGTCAGGCATAATAGGTCCTCCGTATGCAGAAAGGCAAGATTCCTTTAATTTCCAATTATCATCTGATGTTGGAGAACTGAAAAAAGAGCGATGCCGTCCAAGTAAGAACTTTTTTCAAGATGTACTCATACGGCGAAAACCAAGAACGTCTTGGATTCTGGATTCCACGCAGTGGATTCCAGATTCCAGGAACTGGATTCTAGTCTTTGTTTGTGGAACTCAGATTCTGGATTCCAATTCCAATCCTTAGTAGGGTTCCCGGGATTCCTAGAGCTGTATTCCGGATTCAAAAGCCCAGGGTTCCTGATTTTCCCGGATTCCGAATTCTACAAGCAAAAAATTTACCGTATTCAGGAATCCGGATTCCCTTACGTGCATGGGGCGAATTCATAACTCTTTATCTCAACTACAGTTTGTCACACGAACATACCGTAAAATTCCGAAAATAAGCCCCGGGGCTTAGATTTTTCAAAGGCCCTCAAGTTTTGAGGGGCTTATTTTTGGAGAGGGGCTTATATTCGGAGGGGCTTATCTACGGAGGGAAATTTGCGTTTCAAAATCGATTGGGCTAGCCTTATAATTGGAAGGAAATTTACCGTTTTTGCTTTGTTTTACTTTATATTTGAGGGCAATTTCCAAGTAGAAGCCCCCCGGGGGCTTACATTTTGAGGGGCGATTTCACGGAGGGTTTTTTGAGTTACCAGTTTGGGGGGTTTATATTTGGAGGGGCTTATTTTCGGAATTTTATGGTAAAACCCTGCAAATGATGTAAAATTCTTCAGTAAGTCCCATTTTAAACATGTTTAAAAGCCGTCAAGTTAAACACGGTTTAAACTTGTCAGTTCTTTATAAAAGCTACCAACTGTACTTTTTTCGACTGCAAATTTAGGGCAATTACGTAGCGTGTTAAAGTTCATTTGAATTCTGTGTAAAAAGTCTGAGTTGTATTTTTTTGATACTGATGTTTATCAAACATGTTTCGTTGGTGTGAATGGGGCATTTTGGGGGTAATGTTTCCAAATATTTCAGAGAGTTTCGAATGGTTTTCTTTACACTTTAGAAGCCTATTTGATTGGCTTGCAGTGGCGGATCTAGGGGAGGGGCCCGGGGGGCCCGCCCCCCTAATTTTTCGACTAAAAGGACGCCCGAAGAGCCGAAAAAAATTTTTGAAGACCGGGCCTCCCCTTATCTCAGGATCTGGATGACCGCCCCCCCCTTATCTGAAGGTCTAAATCCGCCACTGGTTTGTGAGTACCCAAAAAACTATCTATCCGTGTTCGGATGTCGTAAACTTTGGCTGCATGTTTAAGGTTTTTGGTAGCTTTTTCGTGTCTTCTGAAAATGTTGAAGGGGTGTTCCTTTATTACTAGTCATTTGTTGACAGTTTTGTTGTTTCTCCCAGCTAATCTAGACGACATAAAAGGCATTAGCGCTCCTCGCTCGCTTCGCGCTTTCATTCGCTCTCCCAAAAAACGACTGGCATCTCATTTCGAGGGGTTAGGTTGCAAGCCCATATCACGGTTAGGTGTTTCTTGTCACAACAAAAGAGACAAGAATTTTTTACTGATTTTCCCCATCCTGATAAAAAATATCCTTGCACTGACTTTTTGGTATGAGGAAGCTTATAGGTGATGACTTACTCGTGTCTAAAATACCCCTTGAATTCTCAATGAACTGGACACCACTGGTCAGGATTACACCGTTTTTCAGTGTCCTAGAAGCCTACAAACTTTCACTTCATTCCTGCATTCATGTCTCAGAACACAATATTAATCAAATGCGCTCTATAGCAAGCTTACCTTGTGCAATCCAGAACATGATCATGGTAGTCATATGCATTAAAGTCATAGGATGGTTCATCATCGCAGTCATACCCCATGACCGAGATACATTTGTTCAGTCTGGTTTTGTTGTTCTGGAAATACTGAAAGAGGCTCTCGACTGCACACACATTTGTCTTCGGCTGAAAGCAGATGTCCTGAAGTCTGACTGTTTCGCCATCTTCTGTTTCCACAGTCATGTTGGCAATATAATTTTGCAGATCAAGAGCCTGTAGAATGAACATAATTTACGTGTAAAGTTTATAATTGCTGCCATGTTTATAGCTCAGATGGTTGGGCACCAGTCTACCAAGCTAGGGGCCTTTAAAACACTGGTAAGGTCATGCTGGCTTCGATCTTTTAAGAATAAGTGAAATCCAACTAGTGGTCTTTTATCATATGCTGCGTTTTGATTGGTTGAGCTACCACTTGGCTATATGCTATAGCGAAAAGCGCCGGCTTTGAAAACCAAAACAATGGCTTCAAGTCTAGCTTTAACCAGCTAAAGTTGTTTTGTATCGATATTTTTGACCAGCTAGTTGGATTTTACTAAAACAATAATTCCTCTCGCCCTCATGGCCTCTGAGTCAATAGCCCATGAGGCCTTTGGCCTCCATCACAGGGTCTGACAAAACAGAGGGGGTCAAAACATTTTGCCAACAGTAGACACTGGGCAAGTGACAGGTAAAACTTATTTGCCTAGGAGAATTCACGTAATTTGGAAGGCAAAACTTACAAGAAACTTACAGGAACATGCAAACTAACAACTAACATTACAAATGAAAACGTGATACTTGAATTACAAAGCGTTTCAGTAATTCTTGTAAATATACAGTTACTTCAGTAACAGCAGGGGCGGATCCAGGATTTTTTTTAGGAGGGGGTGCACTCGTCTCTTGCTCTACTTCAACACCAATAAACCACATAGTTTTATTTTTTTTGCAGAATACCACTTGTATAAGAAAACCGCAGGTCATCTCGGGGGGGGGGTGCGCACCCCCTGCACCCTTCCCCTAGATCCGCCCCTGAACAGGAAAACAAGCCGTCTTTTATTTTCATCACATCATCACAATTGTATTTTACAAAAAATCCATAAAAACGAGCTACGAATCCATTGTCAGCCAGGGAAACACCTCTTCCATCTCGTTTCGTTTCGAAATTTTCGGCTTCCGCTTAGGCTCGATTACCAATCGAGCCTAGCTTCCGCTTTGAACTGTTTTTGGTACTTGGATTACGAACTAACCTGCGTAGCAGGCGCAAGAAAGCAATAGATAGCTAAGACTACAGACCGCAGAACGGTGGAAGCTGCGGAACCGGCGAAAACCTACAGCTAACCTATGGAACCTAAAGAAATTACTGTTTTTATTACAACTGCCTTTGGCTAACGCCATAAACGTCGATAACAGTACAGCCAATCGAAATAAAGTGATTGTGGCGAAGTTTTGTTTTTCTCTTTCCCACGAGCGATTTTCCGCGAAAAGTCAGCGAAAATGGACGACAAAAACTGTCAATGTTATTGTACAAACAAATCGACAACAATTTTTCATGGTCTGTTCTCTTATCGACCGTAGAAATGATGTTAAGAGATAGATTTATTATTTTAGAGTTTTGCTGCTGCCGCTCTGTTGTAGAAAACTAGACTCAAAACGTCCGAAAATAGACCAGGAGAAAAACAACCTCGAAGGTGACCCCCCCCCGCCCCCTTTATTAGTGTTATTCACTCTCTATTTGGGTACAAAAAATATACATATTTTAAGGAGAAACAAATTTGGATAGTAGAATTTGTATTGTTTGGTATGTATGATTGCAAAACTCTACTTTTAGATCCACAGGGATGGTTGAGGTAATGATAAAATGGCCAATTAAAATTATTTTGTTGAATTTAGATCATATAGCCTCCCAAAAAGAATATAAGGTTCTAGATTTCAGTAATATCAAGAGAGAATGAGCTAGATGATTCTCTCTTGGTAACATTCATGGTTTTTGCAATATGATAAAAATTATTTTTGAAGGTTGTTAAAGTTTTCAACATTCCATACCAAACTCAGAAATAACAAACACTTAGAATACCAGGCACGCAGGGTGAAAACAAGCAGTTGGTGACCCCATCTTTTTATTGTAGATTTTCGATATCCTATACCATGACTATTAATTGTGTCAAGTTCGAAAAAGATGTGGATAGTGTATCCGTTTCACGGCAATGACTTGATGAGTCTCGTAGAAATGGATGGAATATTCGGAATTGAGACACAACAATCAAGAATCGAGTCGTGATTCAAGCGAGGACCAAGAATCGAGTGGTAACTTTATACCTTATAGCGTTACTCAGTGCAAAAACATTTAACAAGCACCCTCCCCTCTTTGCTGAAAACTTAATTATAGCAAACAGTTTATCTTCAAATGAATATTGCATCACTAATGTACGTATATAGTACGATTACTGGAGAATGATCCGTAGGAGGAAATTACTAACGGGATCACGAAGAAGCGGCTCTTTTAATAATTATGACGGAGAACAGGGATTGACCTTACTTTAAGGTATGCCACATGGTTGAGAGGAGGGGACTCATTTAAGTATAAAGGATGCTAAAATGTATTAGAGTATACACACTGTGTACAGGGTTCATTTATAAGAGAAAATACAATGTAACAATGTCAAAATACACAGGTACACAACAAACTTACCTGATTTAGTAAATCTAGATGGAAGATAGGCCCAAATGGAATAAAGTTATTATATGGAAACTGATGATATCCACCTGGTAGATTCCTCGTTGGTCGAATAATAAGCTGTTCAGTGCGAAAAAATGGATCAAACTTGGATCCGAAAATTTCTTTCTCCTTGCGCGCCACACTGTTTCCATCCTGTTTTCAAAATAACACCAAGGATCAAATTAATAAACCATTTAAAAAGTGTTGCTGTTATTTTGGAGCTTAAAAAGTATAGCCACACTTGGGAAAGTTTTATTACGACATGTGCCCAGATGTTGGAACGATAACCCAAACTGGAATGACAGCTATGCTGCAGTTTAAAACTCTTTTTAAAAGAATAAGTGCTCACCGTACGTTTTCATTAACAATATTTTGATTATAATACATTGTTATTGTACATTGCGCTATGTGTCTTCTTATTGGCTAAGGGCCTACAGTTAATTTTGTAAATCAGCGCAACATATGCAGTGCTAGCAGATTACACTGAGATTAATGACTTATCTGTAGGTTGCGCGCGCAATGCATAGTTTCCAAGAGCAATAACAAACTGTGTTCCATGCGATTCCGTGCTTGTCCTTATTTTCTTCAAAACAATGTTTACAAAGGTATAAATAAGCAAATTACCCTTCTCAAACGAGAGAAAGATAGGCATTGTTTTTATTGGGACATTTCCTCAATTCACCCAGTCCCCTACAATACTACAGCCCCCTAACATTAAAAATGACAGTAAAACAAGACTAATTTGACCTACCCGGAAATTACGAAAATTATTGTCGTTCTATGCTTACAAAATGAGACAAGGGTCAACTTTTGATGTTTCGAAATACAGTGATTTCGCTGCAATTTTCCCCTCTTCTTAAAGCTCGCAAGGAAAATTAAGTTTAAGTTTTATTTTGTCTGATATTGCATTAAAAGCTCTTCAAACTATCCACCCACTGTACCCCCTTTATGGGGGTCTTGTTTTATTACAAAAGGCCAACTGCCCGGGGCCATAAAGTACCGTGCCAAGAAGAGTGCAACGCATAAATGATGACAAATTATGAAATACCTGAATCGACGCGATGACAACATAATGAATGACAAAGCTTTGACCTCGGAATCCAATTAAATTAGTCTGAAATGGGTTTAAAGCTTTAGCTGTGTAAACGAAAACTCTTTTAAGCCAAACAATTAAGTTTTATTTATTCATCTACCTGTTCGAGTAAAATAAAGTTCCCGTTTAACATTCCGAAGAACTATTATTTGGTCATAGAACATTTGAAAAAACACGTTCTTGTGTGTCTGGAATATAAAATGACATCCAACTGCGCTAAATGTTGGGAACTTTAAAATCATCTGTCACACATGTATTCTCTGTTACGTCGCCGCGCTGAATATTTAGTATTAAACAAGGGAGACAAAATAAGTACAGATTTCAGGTTATGTAAAATTTTAATGCGAATTTATTCACACATGTCCAATACTCTCAACCAGATTCCAGTGGACAAAACCTGGAGTCCGACGAAGTCTAGTCGAAAAATGAAACCGGAAGTACAGTAGAGTCCACTTGAGTTACCGGAAGTTTAGTCATAAGATGAAACCGGAAGTGTGAACAATACGTAGATGAGGGTTGGAAAGTCGTCCGATGGTAGCCTGCGTAGCAAGCGTTTCCGTTTGGTTTCGGAGCAAAGAAAGACCAAGGAAGGGGACTTTCGGTTTTGACCGCGCGAGAAATGAAACGAGAGCCAAAAAGTGAAAGAGGGGGGAGGGGGAGGGGAAGGAAGGAAACGCTTGCAGACAAACCCCTCGATTTTGAAAACCTGCGTTCGCCAGCGAACGCAACGCCTGATTGGCTCGGCTAGTCGAACAAGGTTGACATGTGTCGATCAAAGGTTTGTTTCATACTGAGAGGTCATGTTTGGTACGTGACACGCATATCAATTTTCTGTGGTTATTGTTTATTCTGGTCGGCAAGATTTTCCCTCCAGTACAAGAGCATTTTATTTAACTTCTTTTGAAACACAAAGCTCTTCTTGCGACTTTATAAGGGTTTCCGGTCGTTTTATTTGTCTCCTGGATCTGAATAACTAAAAGCGATTTTCTTTTGTCAGGGAATGCGATGGTTTCCTGCAATATTTTGTTATGCTGGGCCCACCTCGTTGGTGTTTTTTTTTTTTTTGCGGGATGTTAAATTCTCTCGGATAGTGATTTACAGATACAAATTTTGAAGAATGGATTGCACCTTTAACTGAAGCTACATCAACTAGGAAGACCTGCATTGTGACTCAGTCAAAATTTCTGCTTGGTTCTCCACGCCAACTTTCAGTTGCTGGGTTAGCTTTGGTCTAGGATGCTTTTACAAGAGCAATCTAGTGGTCTGTGATCTAGACTTAAATGCTTGTCACATTTTACCACTTCAAATCCAACTTTCTGGAGGTTTAGAGCTAAAACTTTAAAACTTCATTCACCCTCGCGGTCCTTCCTTTTAGACGGATTAAGAAGACAAATGTACAAAGCTTGCATTGATAGTTCGGATTCATTGAGATTTCACCATGAACGCCGTCCACGCGCTCCAAAATACAAAAAAAAAAATTATGTTGGTTTCACAAACGCGTCCTCTAAAGTTCATTTCCGCTCCACGGAAGGCCAAACATTTTATTGGTCAATTATGACAGTTGATGACAGCATCAAATGTCGGTTCGCGAACTCAGGCGTGACAGACCAAGTGGGTGGTTTTCAAAATCCCGGGGTTTGTCTGCAAGCGTTTCCTTCCTTTCTTCCCCACCCCCTCCCCGCTCTTTTACTTGCGCCATTTTTCTCGCGGTCTTTGACTCTCGTTCCTCGTTCTTTTCGCCTAAACCGTAAAGAAACGCTTGCTACGCAGGCTATCCGATGGAGTCCATCGGATCCATTGGAAACATATCGATTCCGATGGAATCTCAGGAAGTCTAGTCGTGCCATGAGTCAAACAAGCACACTGCACGTGTAACATAACTCGTTCTTTAAGCCCTAAGTCGAGACTGGCAATCCTAACAGGCAACAGAACTCGTTCTTAAAGCGATGAGTCAAAACAAGCACGCTACACAAAAAACATAACTCGTTCTTGGATTCTGGTCGACAGTATTGGACAACCCTCAATTTATTTGGAACTTCATATGACTTAAAAAAAGCGAAATGTCGGTACACACAGTTTTCCTTTACCTTGACATAATCAATATTGGAATCGGTAATGCCATCATAGACTGTTCTCAGCCCTCTATTTTTCCGTAAGATCATCGAGATCGAGTGCTTTGCGTTACGGGCTGCCATCTTCCATGAGTGTCAAAACTTTGAAAATCAAGATACCCGTGACGGTAAGACGCGGTGTATATAAAAACGAAAAAATAGGGGACTGTGAACAGTCTATGCCATCTACTCATGGAAATGCCAATAAATGTTGTTGTTGTTGTTGAAAGGGGAAAATGACTCGTTTAAAAGGCCAATCACGCAATCATTCAACCCTCAATCAATGACCCGCTTGTTAAATGATCGGGTACAAAATTCTGCACGTGACCTCAGCACTTTTTAGCTAAATAAATGAAGTTTTCTTCTATGTGTTCTGAAGGTAAATAATACAGAAACTCAAAAACTGAAAAAGGGGAATCCAAAAGTGCATGTATCAAAGCAGAAAATTTAAGACTTGAGAACGTAAATGGAGTGGAGAATGAGTAAGGAAAAACCTAAGACAACAGGTAAAAATGTTACAACTTTTGTTACATTTCTTACAGAAAACAGCAATTTCTGAAATTTAATTTCTATTAATGAGAATGGGCCTTTTACAAAACAGGTTGCTATTTAATACGGAAATAATATATATAACAGGCTTACTTATTTTTGAAAAGTCTAACTATGATAATATATTTGTCGCAATTCACGTGCGTGCTGAATAAAGTACAAGATAGAGATTGATCAAACTTGACGATTTTCAGTCTCAAAACCTAAAAAATGTACGATAAGTCACATTTCTGCTGCGTGCCGAATAAAGTACGAGATAAAGAATGATCAAAGTGGACTAATTACACTCTTAAAACCAGAAAAATCTACGATGTATGTCACATTTTTGTCGTGTGCCTAATAAAGTTCGAGAGAAGAATAACCAATGTTGCCTTTTTATACTCTGTAAACCAGAAAAATGTGCGATGTATGTCAGATTTCTGCAGCATGCCGAGTAGAGTACGAGATAAAGAATGTTTAAAGTTGCCCGCTTTTCTCACTATGTAAACCTAAACAAACGATATATGTCACATTTCTGCTGCGTGCCGAGTAGAGTATGAGATAAAGAATGATGAAAATTGACTTTTTTCACACTGTAAACTTGAAACATGTACGATGTATGTCACATTTTTGTCGCGTGCCGAATAGAGTACGAGAAAATTAAAGAATGATCACACTTGACTATTTTCACTTTTAAAACCTGAAAAATGTTTGATATTTGTCACATTTCTAGTTCTGCTGCGTGCCGAATAGAGTACGAGAGAGACTAACCAAAGTTAACTATTTCACTCTGCAAACCAAAAAATGTACGATGTATGTGACATTTCTGCTGCGTGCCGAATGAGTATGAGATAAAGAATAATCAAACTTGACTTTTTTCTTACTGTGTAAACCAAAGAAAAGAAGGTGTACGATGTATGTCAAATTTAGGCGGCGTGCCGAATAGAGTACGAGACAGAACCCAAAAAAGTGTGCGGCAATGTATGTCATATTTCTGCTGCGTGCCAAATAGAGTACGAGATAAAAAATGATCACACTTGACTATTTTCACTTTTAAAGCCTGAAAAATGTAGGATGTTTGTCACATTTCTCTTGCGTGCCGAAAAGAGTACGAGATTGAGAATGATCACAGTTGACTTTTTTCACTCTTTAAACTAAAAAATCTAGGATGTTGCTCTGCTGCGTGCTGAATAGCGTACGAGATAGGGAGCTAAAGTGATGATCACACTTGACTATTTTCACTTTTAAAACCTGAAAAATGAACGATATTTGTCACATTCAGCTGCGTGCAGAATAGGGTACGAGATAAAGAATGTTTAAAGTTACCTTTTTCACGCTGTAAACGTAAAAAATGTACGATATATGTCACATTTCTACTGCGTGCTCTAAGTTGAGCTTCCCGAGTAACACTTTGTCGAGTACCTTCGCGGGACTCTTCTCAGCCTATGTTTTTCTCTTGTGCGTACCGAATAGTCCGGTATGAGACTAACAACGAGCTACCTTCCGTTTTGCAGTGTAGGTCGTTTCGTAGGCGAATTTATCCGAATTTTACTTCAAACAACTTTTCATGCGAATAGTCCGGTATGAGACTAACAACGAGCTACCTTCCGTTTTGCAGTTTAGGTCGTTTCGTAGGCGAATTTATCCGAATTTTACTTCAAACAACTTTTCATGCAAGCGTTACTTCTTTAATTCCTTGAAATCTCTGTATATTTCTCCTCTGAGAACAGGTTTTATTTTTTTTATAAGGGATTGCAACGAGTAGGGTACTTTCTTAAGACCTATTTGTTAAGTTTGCTGTTCAACTCTTTCCAAAGTAATTAAATTTCTGTCTATCTTGAGAGATCAAAATGCGGCGATACCCGAATGAGTGGCAAGTGTTGCGCGTATTTTTTACCAAATAGCGAAACAGGTTGTTTTGGAAGGGAAAAACAACGAAGCCTAGGTGCAGGCCCTCAAATGAACCCGACGACTGAGCAAAGCATTTTATGGGCACAGTACTCTGGGGATAGTGGTCTAGGAGACAACGGAACATTGCGTTTTATCTCAAAAGAAAAAGCTATTGAACGACTACGTGAGATTCATTCCTCTCCATCTGGAGTCTGTGCGGTGGTTGGCTTGAATGTCTTGGTAAGGCAGTTTGGTCTTCGTTTCCATTGCAATGGCATCAAGCAGTTAGCGAAAGATCTTCTAAAAGCGGTCATGGCAAAAAGCGGTCACTGTAAGTGGTCACTGTTTATCACCAACAACAGAGGCCAATGTCCCTATCCTACCTTATTCGGCACGCATCTTGTTAGGGGTAAACAGCATACAGTTTTCCTCACATCGGGTAGGAAGAGTTAATTCACAGCATTTTCTCTCTCGTACTCTATTCGGCACGCATCTTGTTAGGGGTAAACAGCGCATAGTTTTCCTTACATCGGGGTAGGAAAAGTTAAGTTACATGCAGCATTTTCTTTCTCGTACTCTATTGGGCACGCATCATTCTAAGGGTAAAGAGCGCACAGTTTTCCTTACATCAGAGGAGGAAAAGTTAATTTACAGCATTTTCTTTCTCGTACTCTATTGGGCACGCATCATGTTAGGGGTAAAGAGTGTACAGTTTCCCTTACATCAGGAGAGGAAAAGTTTAGTTACAGCATTTTCTCTCTCGTACTCTATTCGGCACGCATCTTGTTAGGGGTAAACAGCGCATAGTTTTCCTTACATCGGGGTAGGAAAAGTTAAGTTACATGCAGCATTTTCTTTCTCGTACTCTATTGGGCACGCATCATTCTAAGGGTAAAGAGCGCACAGTTTTCCTTACATCAGAGGAGGAAAAGTTAATTTACAGCATTTTCTTTCTCGTACTCTATTGGGCACGCATCATGTTAGGGGTAAAGAGTGTACAGTTTCCCTTACATCAGGAGAGGAAAAGTTTAGTTACAGCATTTTCTCTCTCGTACTCTATTCGGCACACATCTTGTTAGGGGTAAACAGCGCATAGTTTTCCTTACATCGGGGTAGGAAAAGTTAAGTTACATGCAGCATTTTCTTTCTCGTACTCTATTGGGCACGCATCATTCTAAGGGTAAAGAGCGCACAGTTTTCCTTACATCAGAGGAGGAAAAGTTAATTTACAGCATTTTCTTTCTCGTACTCTATTGGGCACGCATCATGTTAGGGGTAAAGAGTGTACAGTTTCCCTTACATCAGGGGAGGAAAAGTTTAGTTACAGCATTTTCTCTCTCGTACTCTATTCGGCACGCATCATGTTAGGAGTAAAGAGCGTACAGTTTTCCTTACATCAGGGGAGGAAAAGTTTAGTTACAGCATTTTCTCTCTCGTACTCTATTCGGCACGCATCATGTTAGGGGTAAAGAGCGTACAGTTTTCCTTACATCAGGGGAGGAAAAGTTTAGTTACAGCATTTTCTCTCTCGAACTCTATTCGGCACGCATCATGTTAGGGGTAAAGAGCGTACAGTTTTCCTTACATCAGGGGAGGAAAAGTTAATTTACAGCATTTTCTTTCTCGTACTCTATTGGGCACGCATCATGTTAGGGGTAAAGAGTGTACAGTTTCCCTTACATCAGGGGAGGAAAAGTTTAGTTACAGCATTTTCTCTCTCGAACTCTATTCGGCACGCATCATGTTAGGAGTAAAGAGCGTACAGTTTCCCTTACATCAGGGGAGGAAAAGTTTAGTTACAGCATTTTCTCTCTCGAACTCTATTCGGCACGCATCATGTTAGGGGTAAAGAGTGTACAGTTTTCCTTACATCAGGGGAGGAAAAGTTAATTTACAGCATTTTCTTTCTCGTACTCTATTGGGCACGCATCATGTTAGGGGTAAAGAGTGTACAGTTTCCCTTACATCAGGGGAGGAAAAGTTTAGTTACAGCATTTTCTCTCTCGTACTCTATTCGGCACGCATCATGTTAGGAGTAAAGAGCGTACAGTTTTCCTTACATCAGGGGAGGAAAAGTTTAGTTACAGCATTTTCTCTCTCGTACTCTATTGGGCACGCATCATGTTAGGAGTAAAGAGTGTACAGTTTTCCTTACATCAGGGGAGGAAAAGTTTAGTTACAGCATTTTCTCTCTCGTACTCTATTCGGCACGCATCATGTTAGGAGTAAAGAGCGTACAGTTTTCCTTACATCAGGGGAGGAAAAGTTTAGTTACAGCGTTTTCTCTCTCGAACTCTATTCGGCACGCATCATGTTAGGGGTAAAGAGCCTACAGTTTTCCTTACATCAGGGGAGGAAAAGTTTAGTTACAGCATTTTCTTTCTCGTACTCTATTCGGCACGCTTCATGTTAGGAGTAAAGAGTGTACAGTTTTCCTTACATCAGGGGAGGAAAAGTTTAGTTACAGCATTTTCTTTCTCGTACTCTATTCGGCACGCTTCATGTTAGGAGTAAAGAGTGTACAGTTTTCCTTACATCAGGGGAGGAAAAGTTTAGTTACAGCATTTTCTCTCTCGTACTCTATCGGGCACGGATCATGTTAGGGGTAAAGAGCGCACAGTTTTTCTTACATCAGGTTAGGAATATTTAAGTTACAGTATTTTCCATCTGGTACTCTATTCGGAAAGCACTATGAAGGGGAGAGAGCGTACAGTTTTCCTTACCTCAGGGTAGGAAAGTTAAGTTACAGCATTTTGCATCTCGCAACGCACTATTCGTCACGTAGCAGAAAAGTTACTTTAGAACGCGTATTTTTCTTTTTATTGGTTTAACTAGCAGGGGCACCCAACGTCAATTTTCGGAAAATATCTGTTCGGAAGACGATTTGAGATCGAGAATTTTCGGAACATTTGTTGTAAAATTTCTTGCTTGCCTGCCTCTCCTAGGATTTTCGAACATCCAAAAAATGGTATAATTGCCCATTTTTAACGGATTTTTACGCTAAAAAGGTCAGCTAGAATTTTCGGGAGCCTTTTTTCTGGCTGAAACTTTCGAAAAGGTAAGGTTTAATCCCTATAATTTTCGGATCACTAGACTTTCAGCTAGGAAATCCGAAGAGATGAAAAATTTTTAGAGGATAAAAATATGCCTATATCTACCGTTTAAATACTAAAATACGTTTAACAATGCTATGTTTAAGTGGTTTTGAGCTATATTCTCGTTGCCCTGAACTGGGTTGACGCATTCTCCATCTTGTACCACATTTGGAATGCATGCAAATCGCGTTACAGTATAACAGATTACGTGATTGTTTGACTGAAATTGAAAAAGAAAAGGAAAAAATTATTTTTCCTTGTATAAATTTTTCCTTGTTCTGTGTACTTACATTTCGCATTTGCCATATCTTTATAAGGAAGTAGAAATTAATTTCTATTAAAATTTTACGCATTCTGAGATAGCCTTCATTTTGTTTGGCATAAATCACGGCGGCGTAACAGAGAATGTGTGACAGAAGTTAAAATTTGGCCTAGTTGGAAGCCGTGTTGAATTTCATCCTATGCACACCGCGGGTGAACATGTTATCAAATGTCATTGTAGTGCCTTAATCAGGGGAATAGGATTTCAGCGCATTTATGGATGTTCGTTGAAACCAGTCATGAAATGTATTTTACTAAAACAAGTGAATGAATAAACAAAACACCTTACTTTAAAGAGCTCAGTCATTTAATTCTTGCTAGGGTGGTCTAAGTTTTGTTACTCATTTGAGAGGTTTCCGTCCTCATCACGCCGTACTCTTTTTGGCACGGCACTCGATTCAGCACTTTTCAGGCCAACTGGAAGATTACGTGCGCAGTTGTTTGTCATCTAAAATTACTTCGGGGTCGAAAGCACTGAACAGCTACATTTGTTGTTTTCGCAGATAAAAATTAACAGTTGTGTCCTGTTTGAGAGCACTACTGCCTAGTACAAGCCCCAAACGATAGAACACACCTAACGTGGAGCACTGTCGCTTCCCACAAGACCTACTAGCATAACCAAACAGCATCTGACACCGGTGTCGCTTCGTTAGGCTTGTTCCAGGCTACTCATTCTTACACTGCATGGGAACTAAATGTAGATTAATTCAAGATTAGGAGGAAGATTTTTGTGGTTGTTCCAAAATGGAAAAGCCGTTCTTGCAGAGTGTTTGTCACTGGGCGTTATTTAATGGTGAGACCTACCTGTGCGAGTACGGTCATCATAAACACGGCCACGATCGAGCGGAGAAACAGCGCTGTTAGAGCCATACCTCTTATCTTTTACAAAAATTATATTTCAACGATAACAGCTTGGTTATTTTTTTGAGAGCAGCTTTCAACTGAGGCGACAATTCCTTACACAACAGAGGTCAAATCTGGACTGCAGGCAGGAAAGGGGGGAATTTTATGTATCTCAAGATGCATGGGAGAGGGCATGATCTCAGGCTACAAGATTCCTAACGCACGTGATCCTATCAGTTCAACAGGGACGTGACAGTTGAACAATAGTGGAAAGCTTCTTGTTTTGCCGATAAAACTTTCTGTACCTTTGCTGTGTCGATCTATTTACGATTTTAGTTTTACTATTCCAAATACATCTCTTGTTAAGTCAAAGAGAGTGTTTTGGCCGCCGACTATGAGTTACCGTAAAATTCCGAAAATAAGCCCCGGGGCTTATATTTTTCAAAGGCCCTTTTTGAGGGGCCTATTTTTGGAGGGGCTTATATTCGGACGGGCTTATGTACGGAGGGAAATTAGCGTTTCAAAAGCGATTTGGCTAGCTTGTAGTGGGAAGGAAATTACCATTTTTTCGTTGTTTTACTTTGTATTCGAGGGCAAATTCCAAGTACAAGTCCCCCCGGGGGGCTTATATTCGGAGGGGCGATTTAACGGAGGGTTTTTTGCGTTACGATTTTGGGGGGCTTATATTTGGAGGGGCTTATACGTGGAGGGGCTTATTTTCCGAATTTTACGGTAACTTAGAAGCTAGCGAGGAAGCTCTTTGCTTCAGTACGTCCTGTTTTAACGTGCGTTGATAAAGCTCTCCATGGATTAACAAGCGATTTCCACGTACTTGTCTTAAAACAAATACATGATTATTCTAGGTGTGATATTTCTCTTCGTTGCTTGTTTGTGATCGCGGTGCTCAACTTGTCAGTTCAATATAATTCATTGATACGGTACATCAGCCGTACGGTGACTGCACATGCTTTTACTCAGTTTGTTCTACTTCAACAAGCTCGGCTTATGCAGTTGAAAATACCGAGAAGGTTAAAGTAAAAATTGACGACTATCGGAGATAAAATTCAAAGGAGGGGAATAGCTCCCACAAACAATAAAAATAACAAAGACATCTAACGCAACACCAGCTAAGCATCATTGTCAAACATAAACAGAAAAAAGCGTTGTTAAGAAATGGCAAAATACATGTACAAAAACACCCAGTTCTTCGCCACAATGGATCCTAAAAGAATTATCAAAATGCCTTTAAAGGTTTTAAACGCGGGTTGAGGTCCTACGGCATGCTATTCCATGACATTTGCTGGCCTGTATATTTCAAGTTCGCCACGCGCGGTTGCGACCGGAAGCCACCATGTAGCCTGCGAGCAAGCCCTCCTATTTGGGCGAGTGAAGCGAGTCTCTCGAGAACGCGCGAACGAGCGGCGAAGCCTCGAGGGGCGAGGCTCACTTCGCTTACCCAAATAGGAGAGCTTGCTCGCAGGCTAGCCACCATGAGAAACCAATTTTACCTAATGAGACAAAAAAGCTTTAATACTATAAACCGTTTAATTTAAACATTCATCATACCCTCAAGAGATAATATTTGTGTTTTGATCAGCGAAAAAAGGTCGAATTCAAGAAAAAATGTCCCATGTTCGCAGGACTTAGCATGAAGAATCTTGCATCTTAGCGGAGAAAGGGCAGAAATGCGATATTTCAAAACGATCAAACCCATAAAAATCGCGAGGTCGAAAGAGGTTGCAGCGTGGAACTAGTATCAAGCACTCCTTGTCCGCCGATTTAGTAATTTATTAGGGCAAAACCTTGCCAGAATAAAGACAGTTCACGATAATTGAAAGTCATCTAAATAAAGTCATCTAAAATAAAAAAATCTGAAGCAGCGTGTGAATGTACCAACTCATGTGAGGGGCCATATGCTACGGTTGTAGTATACGCTTGATTTGATGATAACGCGTTAGCATGCGTATGATCCAGTCATCTCTAGCGTTCCTCTGGCCGACCGATATCTCTCAGACCACGTATCTGTTTTGTGTTCTCTTAAGGTACTACGTACGGCTAAAATGTAAAAAGTAAAATGACCTTCATTTTCGGCTAGATCAAAACTCTTACATATATAATTACAATCCTAAAATATGATGG